CCCGTGTATACCTCGCACCGCCATTTCCCGCCTATATCTCCCGCCATACTTTCCTGCTTCTGAATTCCCGCGTACACCTCACACCGCCCTTTCCCGCCTATATCTCCGCCATACTTTCCCGCTTCTGTGTTCCCGCGTATACCTCGTACCGCCGTTTCCCGCCTATAACTCCCGCCATACTTTCCCGCTTCGGAGTTCCCGCCTATTCTTCTCTTCTGAACCTATAAAACCTCCCTCCACACTAAGGTGGATACACACTTCAGTGTAGTCTCCTAGTCTCCTCAAGATGTCCGGTTATCCTTTTGATCATAATTTTCACCCTAGTATGTCCCAATGTCTTCTGCGTTTAGCTTCCAATTTCAAGATAGACAATAGAATAGTTCCATGGGATGAACTCATCAGTAGTGACACTCTCATGAATGAGCTGAGTCACGCATTATCTAGGTGTGGTTGGCCTTCCAGGACCCTTGAGGAGATACGAAAAGAACTTCTCAGGTATCATGGAAGATAGAAGAAGATAGAGCATAAGAGTGAATCAGAGCTGAAGTTTGCACATACTTTTTATGGACTGACAACAGCGAGGACGAATATGATATCTTCATGCCGCCGCTTCCGGGTTCTGCATCGTCGAAGGGCAAGAGTTCTGCATCCTCGAAGGGCAAGAGTGCTACATCGTCCAAGGGTAAGAGTTCTGCATCCTCGAAGGGCAAGAGTTCTGCATCAACGGAGCATGACGATGATGCCTTCATGTAGTTTTAAAGCTGTATTTTTAGTTTTCAAGTCCAGCTCTACCATTTAATTCAGATGTACTTGCATTATTAGTTTGTACTGTCTTATTGGAGGGCATTATGTTATATCTTAATTTCATGTTGTAGTTGTTGCATGACATTCGACAATTAGTTTGTATTATAAAAGTGTTTTTGGGTGGGGAGAGAAGGAAAAATTGTCACGGAAATAATTTATGGCGGGAAAGAAAATGCCACATTTTATTCCAAAACTATTTCTTTTCGTCCTAATACTTTGATCCGAGCAAGGCGAACTCATACCGTGGAAATTTTTTAGGTAGGAAATACGCGTGTTCCAAAATAGTGCAACCAGTGCATGCCTGAGTGCTGTCGCCCAGGCTGCAGCAATAGACTGAAGCAAAAGCAACGCTGAGTGACTCATGTAGTCGCGCCCTCTAAAGCAAAAGCCAGCGCTGAGTGAGTGATTCCCGCAGTGTTGTCGCGTTCGCTCAAGCAAAAGGTAGTTGAGTCCCTAGTTAGCACCACAGTAGAATCAGCGTGAGTGCATACAAAGCAGTGGCAAAAGCCAGCTCCCGGGTAGCAGCGAATCATCACGAATAAAGAAATAAAAGGCGCAGATTCCCGCCCGTGGAAATCAGCATCGTCCGCGCGTGGTAATTATCATCGTCTGCCACAACAAAGGATGTCCGGCATGCAGCAGCAGTAACAGTGAGGCCGCCTCACGCAGTGGCGGCGTGGCCCGCTGCCTGGGCGCTCGCGCAGCAGGAGCTGTCTGTGTGGGAGCGGCAGCAGCAGCGCTGGCCGCCTCGTGTAGTGGCGGCAGGGCCCACCTAGCCCGACCCATTCCGTCCCGGCGTGAGGCACTATGCGAGAAACGTTTTACCCTGGCGGCCGCCTGCTGGCGTGGCGGCAGGGGCCACGTGTCGCCTGCCGTGTCTGCTGTCATGGTCGAGGGAGTCCTTTTTGTCAATTTTGTCCGGAGGGGGTTTCTTTTGGCAATTTCAGTGGGCAGAGGGTCTCTTTCGACAAAAAATCGCCAAATCAGACGGAAGTACTGAATACGTTCTCAAGAGACATATCCCTCCATTTCCCGATGTAACCTTTCTGTTTTGGCAAAGCGTGTCACTCTTGAGCAACTACATGGAGGAATTAGCCGTGTCCTTTTTCAAATCAAAGTAACTAAAACTGGTCTGCGCGGAGGCGCGTTGCATTATGTGGGTGACAATATTCCACCGCATGAAATCTACTCAGCAGATGGAGAAAGGTTCCAGTATAAAAACCATTCATGTGTCCAATTTTCAAAAGGCTTGCCAAGAACAGCGATGTTCGTCACATTTGACGGTCTACTGCTCGTTTGACTGCAGTGAACTAATGTACGTAGATGCTACGACTACCCTGAAGAAAGTAACAGGTTGAACGAAAGCACATAATCTAATTGGAGAGCGCAGGTGCTAAGCAAAGAATCTAACGGCCGGCCCAGCATGACTGGATCGTTTTCAGCAAGGCCTGGATGCAGGAAGGAAGTTGCCGAGGCATTGCCGGTGTCCATACAGTCAAACGCGCGCGTGACCTCACACTGCCTGTGTCATGACGATGACGACTTGTATATGTGCAGTAGCCATGCCTTCCTTTGCTTGCTTCCTTTGATTCGAGTATCTACTATGGTCGCCCGGTCGTCGGGACCCACTCCCGTGCTTCCATGCAGCTTCCTCCTCCGTCCGTCCTCATTGCTTTCAACATTTTCCTTGCTGCTTTTCCTCCCGCCCGATAAGAATGGGAGTGGCAAGCAAACACCTCAACTTAATTAATTAGAGAACCCCTTCACCCTACCTGCGCCTACGCTAAAGCTTATAGTGGTGAACGCTGCACAGTAGCTAGCGGGGTATTACTAGTGGTGTAGCACTGCTGTAGTTGCATGGCATCTTCGGGCAGCGCGGGGAGAGACGTGCCGGCGGCGAGGGCGGCCGCGGCGGTGAACGACCTGATCGAGGCGCGCGAGGGGGCCACGAGGCTGAAGGGCATGCTGCAGGAGCAGTCGCCGGAGTTGACAGAGCTGATGGACGGGATGCTCAACAAGCTGTCCAGCGCTCTGTCGGTGTTGGACACCGGCTGCACGGCCGGAGCGTCCGCGTCCGGATCGGCCGATGGGGTGTTCAGGGCGAGGGCGGAGAGCTCCAGCGGGAGGACGAGGAAACGCAGCTTCAGCAGAAGGTTATAGATCGAACTCTCTTCAAGAGCACACGGTCGATCTGAACAGTGTGTTGTGCTGATTAACTTGTTTTCTTTGGCAAAAGCCAGCTGAGTTCCTTGTGATCGATGCTCATTTTGATTAGTTTGCTCATCAACTTTGCTACCTTTATATGGCAGATTAGAAGGCTTCTCTGGCAAGCGAGTAACTGACACGCTGGTTGATGGTCACATATGGCGGAAATACGGGCAGAAAGAAATCCAAAACTCACATCATCCGAGGTACGTACACTTGTTTTGTTTCCAAGAGAAGCACTATAATTATAATAGCTAGCACGATTTCTCTTTGCCCACGCTCGCACTGATTTGCGATGGAAATTGGAGGAAATTAAATCACGAGCTTCGTTATGGTTTGGTCTTTCAGGAGCTATTACAGGTGTACGCACAAATCAGACCAAGGCTGCAACGCCAAGAGGCAAGTCCAGATCTGCGAGACCCATCCAATCAAGTACGCCGTTACGTACTACGGCGAGCACACCTGCAAGCCTCCCTCCAATACCCCAATGGTCATTGCCGCCGCGAGCGACGACCGCGCAGAAAACCTCGTCAGTTTTGCCCCGACGTTTCCTCAGTTGGGCCAGGCCACTACTCAGCTGTCCTCCTCCTGGTGCACCAGCGTTGACGACGTGTTCAGCTCCTCGTCCGATCCGTTCGTGCAGGCGGACGAGCTCGCCGCCGTCGTGGGATCGGCCGGGAGGACGTCCTCGACGGTGGGGTCGGTGCCGGACCACAGCGGGAGTGGGATCGGCGACATGGCGGGAGGTGGCCAGGGTGGCGGCACGGGCAGTTTCCCGTCGTCTCCGAGCAGCCTCGGGTTCGTGGTGGGCTCTCTGGGCAGCATCGGAAATGACGATTTTTTCCTGTTCGATCCATGACAAAGGATTGAATCCTTTTTTTTCCGGTGGTTCCACCCATGACCCATCACTTCACTTGCATGCAAGCATGCATGCATTGCATATAGCATCCCGTGCATGATGCGTGCATGCGCATAGTGTGCTTGCGCACGAATCTAACCAGTGTGCAACTGTATTTTTTAGATAATAACCAGTGCACAACTGATATTCTGTAGATTACAAAAGGTTGGTAAAGATCAGCATATGTATACGTACGCCAAGCTGTGTGTTTGTGCAGGAATCTGTTATAGATCGCCAAATCGAGTAATGATAACAGCGCCAGTTTACTCAAGATACTAGATCCGGACTATGTAGTCTCCATGAGCAGATCCGAAGAACATATACTGTATGAATTAAATAAAAATACGGTTTGAAATGTTGATGTATGAGATACAGTGGAATATTGATATTTACATTTGAATTGTTGAACAAATATGTTTGTGCACAAACATAAAGAGATAACGGTAAAAATAAATATATTGTCGCTAAACTAAAATTAAATTGGCAAAATCAATAAACCATATATATTTTACTTCATATAGTACATGTCCATCACTAAACCAAAAAACAATTGGTTCAATACGTTGATTTCTCACAAAATAACTATTTTTGCTGTAAATCATATCAAAATTTCATATTAGGTGAATAAATAATCCAAATTTTAAATATGCAAAAATAATTAAAATAAAATAAGATAATTATTTATTTATTTGTTTCGCTCAAAAAGGCGAGTTAGGTTTTGCTTGAACTCTCCATATAGTCTACAAATAGCTATAGCTATTCTTTTAAGAACATCTATAGCCTCTATAGCCATTTTACTCGCAAAAAAACATCTATAACTATTTTAGGTGAATAAATAACCAACTAATAAATAAAATAAAATAAGGAAATTGGATGGAATGAGGCTCACCTCAATATGCAATCATGCAAGGAAAAATACCCACCACCACATGCAGTCATGCATGAAAAACTATTATTCATTATATTAGTATACTTATATTCAATAAATATTTTACCAATATACATAATCAAATTAACAAGTCATATGTATTTAAAAATTACATGTTGTTAATCTAAATATTTTTATTCCATGCTATCAAATATCGTTGAAATATATTAAACCGACAAAGGTACCATCTAGTCAAT